GCCAAATGATAACCAAGTAAACAAATTCTGCCAAGTAAACATCCTAGGTTTGCCTTAGGATCCTCATAAGACAGGAATAAGCAGGGTTCTAATCCCTGCTCAGCCCTGGAAACCTATTGGGTGACTTTGGGCTAGTCACACACTCTCAGCTCAAAAGGAAGGCAATAGCAAACCTTCTCTGAACAAATTCTGGCAAGAAAACCCCATGATAGGGTCTGCCTTAGGATCTCCATAAGTCAGGAATGACTTGAAGGCACCCAACCACAAATATAGCGGTGTAACGGTCTGAGATTGGATTACGACTCTGGAGACCAGAGTTCACATCCCCGTTCAGCCCTGAGAGCCAACAGGCTGACCTTGGGCATGTCACGCTCTCTCAGCCTCAGAGGAAAGCAAAGGTAAACCTCCTCTGAACAAATCTTGCCAAGAAAACTCCTTAGGGTCGCTGTAAGTCAGAAACAACTTGAACTCACACGGTAATATATACTCAAACCTATGCTTTCATTCTCTTATTTTGCAAAGGGGTGTATGGATAGCATCTTTTTTTAATTCAGAGAATGATGATCAGAGACATACCTCTGGCTCAGTTCTGTATTTCAAGCATTCTGTACTCCAGTCGACTTCTATGTTCTGTTTTCTTTTTCCTCCTTGGCTACTTTCATTGTAATGGAACTTTTTGGGGGGAATGTAAACACGCATAGCATTGAAGTGTCACATTGCCAAAATGCTGGCTGCCTTCCCTCCTCCCTCCTTCCCCATTTCTTCTCTCTCACAAACACTGAATGCCACTCTCTGGCCACTCTGCACATAGGTATGATCGCCAGCCAGTGGCCCCAAGCCCCTAACAGCCATGAAATAAATAAATTTAACCTGCACCAAATCATTTCTAGGTTTTCAACATCTCTTCCCTCAACTCTGTACGATACTAAACTCCTGGAACGTATGCTATCCAAAAATGTCCAAACTTACACTCTAGTAGATCAGGAGTGGGCAACATCTGGCTTTCCAAATGTTGTTGGACTACAGTGCCCAGCATCCCCTGCCATTGGCTCTGCTGGCTACTGCTGATGGGAGATATAGTCCAACAGCAACCGGGGTATCGCACAGCCTCTTACGGCATGGTAAGACCCATGCATTTACCATACAGGCAGATGTGTTTCCTTCCCTTTTAAAAGTTCAGATTTCCCAAAGGCAACACAAATTAATTTTCACTCAGTCATGAAACCTACTGGATGAAACCTACAGGTCACACACTCTCAGCCTCAGGGGAAGGCAAGGGCAAACCTCCTCTGAATAAATCCTGCCAAGAAAAGCCTTAGGGTTTCCATAAGTCGGAAACGACTTGAAGGAACACGACAACACAACACAACACACACCGGAAGAAGCTGGTGCCTGGGGAAATTGGAGAGAAGCCCTGCAATGCACGCTTAAAACTTACATGTACAAAATCTGGCATGCTGGATTTCAGCCAAGGGCTTTTTTTCCCCTCCCCTTTTATTCTAATTTTAAAACAAACCTTCTTTCCTATAAACACGACGCCACTTCTAGCCTTGCAGATTCCAGTACCTATGTGCAGCTCAGTTTTACGTCTTTACTCAAAAGCAAGTCTCATTGAATCTTATGGCCTTTATTCCACTATCACTAGCTCCAGCCGTCTTGATTTGATAAAGACAGTCTCAATGAATCCTCTGTCATCCCACTTTCCATCTGCTTTTAAAATGTCCCAGTTTCTCTCTCCTCCTCCCACTTCCCCGCTCTGACCTTTGCTTCCTTCAGCTGCTGCAAACTGAAAATACAAAACTAGCTTTTACTCAATGAATTCAACAGCAGGGTAAGGATAGGAAGGAAGTGAATCTTTCCCTTCCCTGTACGCTCAGGCAAAAGCAAACTACTGCAGCTTTTCCCAGCGTTCCTGTTCTTCCTCATTAATCTCTTGGGTCACCTTATCCACAGATGTCCCAGTTTTCACTTATGAATAAATATAGGGCCTCTCCTACTCCTGTATACAAGTTTTTTGTTTGTTGTTGTGTGCCTTCAAGTCCTTTCTGACTTATGGCGACCCTAAGGGGGACCTACCATGGGGTTTTCTTGACAAGTTTATTCAGAAGGGGTTTGCCCTTGCCATCCTTTGAGGCTGAGAGAGTGTGACTTGCTCAAGGTCACCCAGTGGGTTTCATGGCTGAGCTGGGGATTGAACCCTGCTTCACAGTCCAGTGCTCAAACCACTGCACAGGGGGGAATTCCCTGGGCCTTGGAAAGGCCCCTCCTGCGCCCACGGCGGGCAAATTCGCCCAGCGCAGCCGCGGTGGGCCCTTCCAAAATGGTGCCCGCACTCGTGCGCGGCGCACCAACACGCACGGGGGGCAGCGGCGGCGGTGGCAGCAGGACTGGCCACAGGCCAGTCCCAAGGCCTCCGCGGTCCGCACCCGGCCCGCGGGCCGTAGGTTGCCGACCCCTGTTCTAGAACATGGCTTCAGAGCCCGAAAAAACCCACAAAAATCTATGGATGCCGGTTGTGAAAGCCTTTGACTTCACATTGGAGAATACTTACCTATAAGGAAATATTGGGAATTACCTGCCCAAAGGGATACATAGGGGAATCCTTACCCATAGGGAATCATTGGAGAATCTTTGTCCATAGGGATACATAGGGGAATCCTTGCCCATAGGGACTCATTG